GTTCATCTAGCGTACCACAACCATGTACCACCACTACCACTAACCACATCCACACATTCATCCGCTACCACATTACAACTACCATTACTACCATCACCATATCCACCCTTCCATACGCCACTACAACCACCTAAATCATCACTACCACCACCAAATACGACCACTAGCCTCTACCACAACCATCACCAAACAGACCACTAGCCCCTACCACAACCACCACCAAACAGACCACTAGCCCCTACCACCACCATCTTCCTTCCCCTCATTAGCGTCACACGTAAACCACCCACAATACCTTGATCACTCTCCCGTCAGTGGCCGTAATCACTAACAACAACAAGACTCCCAATAAACACACACACAAAGACGGTAAACCTATCCCACACATCAACAGCCATACTTCTCATACACAATACACTAAATATACAGGTATGATTATCACCGATTATCCAGGCTGGCAAACACAAACACAATATCCTTTACACATGTTAAATATGAACTAAATTTATCACCATAATTACAAGATGTTTCCTATATCACAACCGTTCGCCTTTTTCTTTAGTTGAGTTTACCATCATCAAACACTTATCATGATCAGTTAATATATTTACTAAACAAACACTTTGTCAACAGAGAACATCAACACCCAGATACAAGGAGAGGCGACTATACCAACGTCAGCCTCCAAACTACCCGCTACACACGTCCTCCCACCACACACTGTCTGCCCCGCCTCTCACACGCGCCTCCACCAAAGAAAACGAGCGTCAAGGCTTATAGAAAACGGGTTCAGTCTGGCATTTAAAAGACACCTCCCCCTCCCCCCTGTGTTTACAAGTTACTGTGTATTTATAAGTACTGACACCTGATGTATTTTAATTCGTCTTCTTTCTAAGCGGAGACGAAAAAATTAAAACTGCATAAGGGTATCTGATGACCCACCAAAATGAACCCTTACAAAACCAACCAAATAGAACCCATATGAACCCACGAGCAGGCTTAAGACAGTACTACATCACTTAACAACCTTTGAACACATATTTAACAACCTAAACACCGTCACAAAGGGTTTCTTATTCCAGATATTTCACCCTGGGCGCCGCGGTAGACATGGACCATCAGAGGAGAGTAACCGACCACAACACCACGCAGTATATAGCGACTCCTTCGACGTCTTAACCAATACCGCTCATTTGTTTGTGACTTAAAAGACGGACGATTATCGGAGCCATAAATCAGGAAACAGTCAGGCCGAACATACGAACATACACACCGAAGAGGGGGGGAGAGGGGGGGTGGGAGAGGAAGGGGGAGGGAGGGAAGGGGTGGGAGAAGGAAGGGGAAGGGAGGAAGGCTATACATCACAGGACTAGCGGGAGGGAATCTCTCTACATACTCCAGTACAGAAATATATGTATATAATATTTCATGAATAATAGAGATATTATTCATTTCTACAACCCACTAAGGCAATAATAGAAATAATTCACTTGCAGATTTAACTAAAGAAAGAATATAAATCATTGATGTTTCCCATTGAGGCAACAGTAAAAAACTTAAAGTATTAACGAGTAAATCCCACTACAGTTATAATGTAAATATCAAGGATTCATTTGTACATCCCAGAGCTTTTTGTTAATACCACACACACACACACACACACACACACACACACACACACACACACAGAGGTAATTACGGTCAGGCTACACTCATCTTCATCACCGCCACTCCAACACTCTCCCACCAGCGTCCTCCCACATCTTTACACTTGTGTTATGTCATCTACATCACCAACACCATCACCACCACCAATCTACATCATTAACTTCTTATCAATCTTCATCATTACCGTCAATCATCATCATCACTACAATCTTACATTTCACTATAATCATCACTAGAGTTGACTATGTAAGTACCGGTACATTAGCAATAAAATCCCGGTAGAGTAGCAATAGGGTATCAGTAAAGCAGCAGAAGACTATAGTAAGTAGCAGGCACTCAGGAACCCATAAGTGGAACAAATCACAGCTCTTGGTACAGTATTTATTACATTCATTACGGGCGGGCGGGCGGGAAGCCAAGGCTGTTAACGCCCTATATACCTTATGTAATTATCCCCCTATTGACGGACGGACGGACACCTGTAGTTTGAGCCTCTCCCCACCTAGTTATTATAGATCATATTTGTATCACTTATGTTACTTGTATATTATTTGTAGATCAGGAGACCAATTCTCAAATTATGTTACTGTATATTTTCAGCCTTCCAGCTGCCATGCTCTTTCAATAAACCGTTAATTATTATTATTATTATTATTATTATTATTATTATTATTATTATTATTATCATCACACGGCCAGAGAGGTGTTCGTTCCGGCACTTGCCGCTAAAACTCTACGGATATGTGTCGCCATATTTCACTATCACTGTTGAGAGGAGACGCTGATTTTCTCTCATACACACATACAGTAGACGCACACCAATACTTTGTTCTCGACCATATGTTTAAATCACAAAAATTATACAGATGAGAGCAACAAATAACAACAATAATAACAATAAAACACTGATAATAAGAACAATAACATCAATAATAATAAAAATTATAATAATAATAATAATAATAATAATAATAATAATAATAATAATAATAATAAAAGAAACAATAACAACAAAAATAACATCAATAAAAATACCAATATATTAACTTTCTGTGATTCACTCAGGAACATTGAGACAAAATCCCAATGGAAATAAAATACCACCAGAGACTCCCACAACCGAACACTTTCCCAACGAACACAATCCCTCCCTGGACACCGTAACAAGAGTGGGGACTATCCTACCTGCCTAAGGTCTTTAAACCCCTAATACCTCCACAACTCACTCTTTTCTGCCCACGACCCACACCACCCCCAGTCACTTAACCTCAACATATGGGTTTAATCTTTATTCACATTTATAAAGCTCGACTCCTCTCTATCTTCCACGAAAAATTCATCTTCTCAAAACTCACCGGCGAGATCTTGACTCTGGATGCCGATTCTCCGAGGTTCGGGCGTTCACCCCCTCCTCACCCCTGCCCCCTCCACCCCCTCCTCACCCCTGCCCCCTCCACCAAACTGATCCTAAATGCCGACTGAGAACGAATCAAGTTTCTGGTCGATTCTCAGCGGGATTCCAACACTATTTTGGCCGCCATCGTCAGGTTAAGTGAATCAGTTAGGTGCCATCTCACATCTCCCAGTTATGGTTGGAGGAAATTCAACTTTACAAACCTTTAAGATTCCCAGAGCGGTGAGGGCAGCGGCGGCAGAATTCACTACTGAAGGTAATGGTGCAATGGAGAGGAGTTTTCGGAGTATGGAGGAGGAGGGAGTAAGGGGGAGGCGGGAGTAGGGGAGTGAGGGGGAGGCGGGAGTAGGGGAGTGAGGGGGAGGCGGGAGTGGAGGGAGAAAGGGGAAAACTGGAGTACGGGGGAAGCAGTGGGAGTAAGCAGGAGGCGGGAGTAAAGGGGAGGAGGTAGTAGGGGAAGCGGTGGGAGTATGGGAGAGGAAGGAATAAGGGGGAGACAGGAGTAAGGAGGAGGCGGGGCGGGGGTAAGGAACACACAGCGAGCTTCAGAGTGATAGCATAATAATAACCACTTAAAACTCGGAGCGAGACCCACCCCGGGGATTAGCTCAGGCCGCGCCACCCCACAGAAAAACGCTTCGCTAGACACATCCCAAACTGAATACACCCGTCCACCTTATGAACGATAAAGATTTAAGTTATGCACAACTACACAGTCGCCTCACGTATGCTCAGGACGTCGAGGGAAGACTTTTATAAACGGCCGCAGTATGGAAGTGGAGCAGCGGACTGACGTGGGTGAAGGACGAGCCTCGCAGGGCACTGGAGATGCTGATAAAGTATATTGATAAATGGTAACTGTCTGAATAGCAAAGAGCTTATCTCTTAATACGAGAGAGAGAGAGAGAGAGAGAGAGAGAGAGAGAGAGAGAGAGAGAGAGAGTCAATACAACAGTGCAGCTGCCGGGACTTGGCTGGTACTCGATTCATTCACCAGCAGTCTTACAGCAGGCAGTAGGAGAGAAAACAAGAAGTGACTTATGATATATTAGTAACCTGTGTGTGTGTGTGTGTGTGTGTGTGTGTGTGTGTGTGTGTGTGTGTGTGTGTTAATAACCAGGCCGCCATAATAATAACAGTAACTCAGGTGTTACTGCTGGACACCGCCGAGGCATCACCTCATAACTCAACAGTAACAGTCTATTGGAAACTATACACAAGGTCAGAGAGCTTCAATAATACTGTTATGTGAGCCACCGTCTTCAACTCGTGTTAAGGGCCTCTTGTTGACCTTACTGGAGCCGTAGACCATAGTGTGGCTCTACAGGTATTACTTGTAATTAATGTTTCTACACACCTGCCTCTATCACATCTTTATCTTAAACACTAATAAATATTTTCCTTTATCTCAGTCATTACAAATGTGATTCCTTAAGTCATGACACACGGAAGAGGATGGTGACCTGCTGATGGGGCGGTGACCTGCTGGTGGGGCGGTGACCTGCTGGTGGGGCGGTGACCTGCTGGTGGGGCGGTGACTCTTGCAGCTGGTGACCCTCTACACTGCTCACCATGCACAGGGTGAGGTACAAACTGCCACTGGATAGACCCACAGTAACCCAACACTAACACGGTGTACTAAGGACGACACTTGACACAGCGGGGTTGTGTTCACTTTAACAACGTCTAGTGTTGGGGTTTTATCTGGTGGGAAACAGCCAACTGGGGTTATGTGGAGCACACAACCTCCGCTGTGACCAAACAACACCATAACTAACAGTATAATGTTCACACCCAACACCACAGTTTAGTTTTGTTATGTGTTTTCTATATGTTGCTGCCTTGTGAAACACCCATGTTGTCCCTCCTAACTCATGTCCCTCACTACCAGGTAATTCAGTACTTACCGAGACGAGTTCTAACACAGGAGGTCTCGCTTCTTACCTGTCAACAAAACAAACAAACATTAATAAAAATTATCGAACATCTTAACTACACAAACACACCAACATCCTGATGACCCAAACACTGTAATAATATATACATCTGAGACGGTAACAATACGTATGATACAGGTACAGTACAAGGAAGCCTGGCAGTAGAGGACCTTAATGAGCGCTGGCCCTCACAGTGTACACGGCCAGCCACATACTCCACCAGTGGGGATAATATATTGCCTAACAAATACAAACACCATTTCCCACATTTTTTTTCACTTATTTTCATTAAACAATTTTCGCTTTATTGCCATACACCCGCGTTAGGGATACACACGATGTATTTAACTTATCCTCACTTGTTAAAACAGACACATCCATCCCCCTCCCCCCCTACCACACACACTCCCTTCAGAGTCAGTTGACGCGCGGTGCTAAACTTAAGCCAAAAAGAAACTTCAACCCACAATCTTCAGGTAAGCTGCTGCCGCCACCAGAGTTCAACTTCAATCGTCGGTAAAAGCAAGTGAATTCAATTACGAAGTTGCCACAAGCTTTACCAAACTCCCGTGTGCGTCTGTCTGCCACCAGCGCCATTCCTCCACTCCTGATTGGGACAACCACACTCAGCTGAGAGCTAGTTAGGAGGTCGGTTTTAACTTGCTAGATGGCGTTTGTTTACGTGTGTCACAGTAGACAATGTTATTCTACTCAATTAGTTCAGCAACAGTTATTTTGGGATTGGGTTAGGTTAGGTTAATAGGACAGCCCAAGACACCACACCCCTCACCACAGCCCGGCACATCTCACCTCCCTGACCAGCCCCGGGAAGGTGTTTGTGTATCCTTCCTTTACCGTGCACGACTATTCTGATGCCGGGAAAAATAATAATAATTTCATGGTTATGGGCCTTTAAATTCACCGTCTTGCCGGAATAATACCAACTGGTTTTTTCTGAGGAGGTCGTTGTCGTAACAGATGCAATACGCCCCCCCCCCCCTCTCTCTCTCTGCCTCCTCCCACCGCCCCACACACCCCCACACTGCCTCCCACGTCGTCACTACCGTCTCATACACCCCCACACTCATCACCACCACCCAGATAACACCATCGCCACATCCACACAACCACCATCACCATATCCACACAACCACCATCACCATATCCACACAACCACCATCGCCACATCCGCACAACCACCATCGCCACATCCACACAACCACCATCGCCACATCCACACAACCACCATCGCCATATCCACACTACCATCACCCACACCCTGACTGGTAACAAAACCACGACCTGCCTTCTGCACTATGTCTAGTGTTACCTGTATATTTAACACAAAAGATGTGCACTATACTTCACAGCCACACCATGCACACAATACTTCACAGCCACACCATGTACACTATGCCTCACAGTCACACCATGTACACTATACTTCACAGCCACACCATGTACACTATGCCTCACAATCACACCATGTACACTATACCTCACAATCACACCATGTACACTATACCTCACAACCACACCATGTACACTATACTTCACAACCACACCATGTATACTATACTTCACAACCACACCATGTACACTTGTTCAGTAATCCTGTTGAAGAATTAATCTTTTACCAAGTAATTTAATGCCTCGTGGCGTCAGCGTCCTACAATCAATGTCAGTTTGTTTACTGTGCACCGAACAGGTTCCGTGATGGGCCCAGGGTAGGAAGAGTACCGCCAGGGTGACTAAAAACGACGGAAATTGACAAATAAAAAAAATCAGACCCATAAAACAAGCGGTGTCCCGACGTCACCCCACAACAGCTAAAAAACTTAAATGTCGACGAAAAATGTGGGATAGAAACTTGGCCCCCGAGCGGATTCATCCAACTCAGTTTCAGGGCAGCGGACAGCTCTCTCAACTACGGTCACCAACTTTACGGTTAAAAAAATAAAAGATATGTGTTTCCTTAATCTAAAATGAAGGTTATAGTAATACTTGGGTCCTACTTCTTGTCCGGAACACAATAATTCTCTAACTTTTAACATATTCAACAAATAAAACGTCCCGTGTACCGAGTCTCTCTGACACATTTATGTGGAGTAAAATGGCCAGAGTTTGGCCTTTCAATATACTCAAGTGACATCAACTTGTGCACTAACCTGGTCCAGATGCCTCCAGTCCCCCACGATACAGATCCAAGACAACACAAACGTTCCCTCTTACCAGCCTCACGACCCTAAACCTACCCATACATTCCTTGCCTTCTATACACATACACTGTAAACCATTATATACTGTAACAGGCGGTAGTTATAAATTAAGTTAAGTGTGTGTGTGTGTGTGTGTGTGTGTGTGTGTGTGTGTGTGTGTGTGTGTGTGTGTATAACTCGTAGTGGAGCAGGAAGGAAGGAGGGCGGAAGCTGTGGTGCCTCATGGTCGCAATGGTAATATTATTATTATTTCAGTTGAGTCGGTCACCTGGCGGGGCTCCTGTACCCTGGAAAGTCTCTCACTGACTCTTTAAATAAACGTTTGTTGTATCTCGAGGATATAAATGTGTTACCGTCTACGGGTTTTATGAAAGAGGAACCTTGATAGTCGTTAACTTCACAACCACTACTCGGTTTTATTCCCGTTGTAATACCCAATCTCTCTCTCTCTCTTAACATCTCTCTCCTTCACTTAAATTTGCATGATAATTCTTTCCATCACTTGACAGTTTCTTAACTTTCGTCATTAAACAATAAAAAAAAAAAACTTCACAAACTTCAAACAGAAAAAAATTAATTAAAATAATGTCTTTAAGGCTCAATGTAGCGTGTGACTCCTAAAGTACATCTTATATCGTCAGAGGCAGGCAGTGTGTGTGTGTGTGTGTGTGTGTGTGAGAATGGATGGGGGGAGGAGGAGCAAGGAGTCAACACAAAAGGAACAGAATAAAACAACATTGAAGTATAATTAAGAGAGACAGCGACATCTAGAGACGGACGAGAAACTAACACACAAACAACAGACCAACGAACAGCACACAAGAAACAGTAATTTGTACCTTGTCTGTGTGTCTGTTAACCCTCCCCTCCCCTGATACAATTTTTACAACAACCAACACAATAATAATCCACTGAACTCAAGTCACACCACGTCTCAACACCCAACACTAGCGGAAGCACATAACAGCACATACAACACCGCTAGCACATAACACCGCTAGCACATAACACATAACACCGCTAGCACATAACACCGCTAGCATAACACCGCTAGCACATAACACCGCTAGCACATAACACCGCCAGCACATATAACACCACATAACACCGCCAGCACATAACACCGCTAAGACATAACACTGCCAGACGCTAGCTAGCACATAACACCGCTAGCACATAACACCGCTAGCACATAACACCGCTAGCACATAACACCGCTAGCACATAACACCGCTAGCACATAACACCGCTAGCACATAACACTGCCGCTAACACTTAACACTGCCGCTAACACTTAACACTGCCGCTAACACTTAACACTGCCGCTAACACTTAACACTGCCGCTAACACTTAACACTGCCGCTAACACTTAACACTGCCGCTAACACTCGACCTTAATCCCTCCCTCTCATAATCCTTTCTTAAGTGATAACAATAGTGGCTTCTTAACCAGGGAGAGGTGGGACCATTCAGCGCCGGTAAGAGTATTTCTAGTGGCTCATTACACTCTGTTATGGCGCTGAGGAGAACTGTACCTGTATCTAAAACTGTATTTCAGTGTCGGAAGAATATATTGTTTACAGTATTTAATCAATTCATTTCCGACTGACCTAACCTATGGATGTTTTTCGTGAGTGAGAGATTTTTTGTCGTTTCTTTTATATAGTGTGACGTAAAGCGGCAAATGAATTCCTGTTTAATTGGGTTGTTCCTTGTTTAATTAAGTTGTTACGCGTATAATTGTATTGTTACTTGTTTAATCTGTTTGTTCCTTGTTTAATTTGTTAGTTAATTAAACTAATGGACTTAGAAGGGAAGTGAGGCGATCTTGAACACAACCCCACCGACAGACTGGCTTATGGCGGCGGGTTACAACTGACAACTTCTACCACTATTATCATACCTTATCACTGCTTGCACTAATCCACAGCTCCACCTTCCCTCATACTGGCATGTTGGAAGCACCGTGTTGGGATTACGCTAAAGTCTGTCTTTACTGTGTGGTGTAACGAGGCGACAGTGTGCAGTGCTTCCAGTCGTCCCTTGATGTTTGTGTTTACAGAGTCCCTTGAAGCTTGTGTTTACATTCTCTTGATGTTTGTTTTTACAGTTATTTGATACTTGTGCTTACAGAATCCCTTAATGTTCGTACTTACAGTAAACACACACATCAAGGGACCGTGACTACACCTTGCACCCCAGGAAGAAGGCCCACAGTACCACTCCACCACCCTCAAAACTAACCCTACGATACATAACCATAACCACGATATATGTTAATAATAATAGACCCATTACTTTACCCCCACCTACCCTTCGTGTTTACATCTTACCATTAGTATTACAACCTCTACTTATTTACTATAATATTTTAACAACAAAGAAACTTATTTAAGCCTTCTGGATGGTGGGGAAAAATTCACATATCGCGCCAAGTTTGAGCAAAACGACCACGTCAGCGGGACCCTGTGACAACCACCTTCTGTATTGGGCAAGTTTAAGGCAGCGTCAGCAAACTAATTTACGGCGGTGAAGAGCGAGATTTATGGTGCAAAAACGACGTCACAGCCAACAGGGAAGGAGCCACATGCCCACCCCCCCTATACCTCTCTCTGTGGCCACCCCTAATCTTCTCTGTGGCCACCCTCTACCTCTCTGTCCATCAGCCTACTAAGCTACAAGTCACGGTCACTATGAACGCAACACAGTATCCATATACACACACACACACACATAGTAGGAACGAGGTAAACATGACCCTAAACACACACACATAGTAGGAACGAGGTAAACATGACCCTAAACACACACACACATAGTAGGAACGAGGTAAACATGACCCTAAACACACACACACACATAGTAGGAACGAGGTAAACATGACCCTAAACTCACTCACTCACTCACTCACTCTCACTCTCTCTCTCTCTCTCTCTCTCTCTCTCTCTCTCTCTAAAGCTATTACAAACTTTCAATAGGCGGTCGGGATCCCTCTCACAATTCATTCTTTGCGTCATTTCTTTTACCAATAAGTTCACGACACCCAAATTCTGGCCTCACTGAACACTAGTTAAGGGAAAAACCTACAATAATTCGTCTTATACCGAAATGTTTAACGTAGGAAATATCTCACCAATATGATTCACAGGACAAAAACACCAAGACCCACCACAACAAAACACGGTCTAGGAAAGTGATCGGAGGGAAAAATGTATTATAACTTAGCAATTTAATAACTTTTTGTGTTATGTGGAGTGGCGGGTCATCCTTCTGGTGATAACGGCTCCTCAGCGCCACACCGGCCATCACCACCACCAACAACACTGACAATGTAGTTTATTAACATTATTCACAAATTAGGAGAAAACAGCATGAGCAACGCTAGGT